TGTCTGTCGTTTCAATGATTTTGTCTGTCCGGGTTGTCTCGGTTGCTTCTTTCCGGAAACCTTTCTCACGTCTTCTCCTCTGCAGTAATCATCTTTTCTACTGTGCGTCTGAATTCTTCATTATTTCTCGGGTTCTCTTTACAGAAATCCTGAAATTGCCACCTAGCCATGATTCCGTGAGAGAAAGCTTCGATTACTTCTTGTTCGGTGATGTCATGTACTTGGGCACGTAGTTCGCCGAATCGTCGATAGTAATATCTGAGACTTTCGCCTCCTTTCTGCTTGAGTCCCTTTAGTTCTGCGTGGGTGATGGGGTGCGTAATGATACCTGCGAAATTTTGACAGAAAACTCTTTGCAAGTCCTCCCAATTTCTGATTGACACTGGATTCAATTTGTCGAACCATTGGAGGGGCATGGTTTCTAGGGTCATGGGAAAGAACAGGGTCTTGATATCGTCATCCCCCCTAGCCAGTTCAATCGATTGTGAGTAGATTCTGAGCCACTACCTTGGTTTGGTTTTGCCATCATACTTAGAGTGGTTGGACGGCTTGAACTTGTGCGGTAGTCGTATCGAAGCAAGTCTGCTTGCAAAACAGGGGAATCTATCGTGCGTCCCGGCTTCTCTGTACTCTGATTCAGCACCTCCTTCCAGCCAACTGTCGTTTTGGTGAGAGTAGTTCTGCGGAGCTGTCCGAATGGGTACTTCGCTTCTGATCTGTTTTGGTTGTTCGACTCGGTAGTTTTGACTGTGGTCCCTTCTACTTTCTCTGTTGTGACTTCCACTTGGTCCAAGTCTCTCGAACGCGGACTTCCTTTGATTTTGATCTTACTTCCTATGAGATGCTGACCTGGCAGGTAGTCTTGAACGGGTTCTTCCATCGTGTGTCTTTAGGGCTGCTGTCCGGAGAAGTTCTCGGAGCTGTTCCTGCTGTTCGCTGGGATGCGAGGTCGTTCCGAGTTCTTTGAGTGCTTCTCGGATCCTGTTGTAGGGTGTGTTCGCCGCACGTCTTTCTTCGACTTCTTGTTCTGATTTTCTTTTATTGTACTCGGCCAGATCTGACTCATATCTGATCCAAGCTTCCTTGCGTTGCCTAGCACGTCGTTGGCGTCCTTGTTTCAATTTGTTTCTTCTTTCTCTGGCTTGCCTTTGATTCTCGGTCTCACCATCGTAGCCCTGAGCAAAGGGTGATATGTTGGACTCAGATTCATCCAATGGCCTGATGTCGGGCACTTCTGGGGGGATCAATAGTGATCGAGGATGGCGAACCATGAGTACTTCCCGTGCGTGAACTGTTCTGTCATTGGCGTTAGTTTCCATACTGTCGGAGTTGCTGATAACTTTAGTAGAGGCTTCAAGGTCGCAGATCGAGTCTCCTTCTTGGTAGGGTAGAATTGTTGTTGTCGTCGTACCGACTAGTCGAGTGCCGCTATCCTTAGGAATAGAACCTGGCTAGTGGACGATGCAGTCTTGAGATGTTATAGTTAGCACGAGACCTTCCTGAGCTCCATTTAGTGGCATTCTAAACACCGGATCGAGGGATCCCTCGAGCCGTGCCTGATAAGACTTTGCCATGTTGTGGGGTCCAAACGGGAAAGGATCTGACTTCTTGAAAAGACTTTGAGTGTTCTCCGAGTTGTATTCTTGATATGTCGAGGCCGCGTTCTGGAGCCCCATCAGAAAAGAACTCGGATCAGACTCCATTTCGGATGCGGAGCCTGAGTTCGAGTCGGATGCGCAAAGCCACGAAACCTGAGTTGAATCGGACATCACGAGCTACGCGAATCTTCTGGTGATTTGATCTGTCGTAGTCGCCGAAATAGAAAGGTCTTCATGGTGAACCGGATCTTCAAGGAGACGGCTTTGGAGCTTGCCATCGTCGCCTGCCTCACAGATCCACAAGCCGAAGATGAAGGTTGATCCCGCCGAGAAGTTCATGTTGTCGAGGTCCGTCAAGCTCTCGAATGCAAATTCATCGAACGCCCCTACCTGGCGCGCCAGCTGTCGATGTTTGACCACCGATAGCCTGCCACGGGGGTCCCCGGGGCAGTTTGTTCGAGCACGTATGTGGAACTCGACGGTGAACGCAAGAGACAGTTGATTTATCTTGGTTCGGGCCCTCGATCGTGATCGAGTAATAGCCCTACGTCCAGTCGGCGTTAGCCTTGCGTTGGATTGATTGTCTGTTGTTCAAAAGTTCTAGTCACCTTTCCAAGATCCCTACCCTCCTTTATATAGTCAGGAGATCAGAGTCCTAGTCGGTTTACAATGAGAGTTCATAGTAGAATTACAGAATAATACTACTGCTAAGATTACATGAAAAGAGACCTAATTAAACTAGATCTTCTCTCTTCCTTGCGGGGTATCCTGTGGGTCCCGCATCGACACATAGATCTCTAGATATATATCCCAAGTTTTTAAATATCTTTTTATTGCCCCCCCCATATCAATTTCGGTCTTACTCTATCTCTCCTCATATTATTAGCTTGACTTAGGACTCCATAATGCACTGGTGCCTCTGGATGTCTACTTTGGACATGGTCAAACCACCTCAACCGATGTTGGACAAGCTTTTTTTCAATTAGTGCTACCTTTAGGCGATCACGTATATCATTGTTCTGAACTCGGTCCATTCTTATGTGACTTTGATGTCTTTTCTTCTAATTTCCACCACTTCGTCCTAGCAACCCTAACTTGTTTGTTGCTACGAGCTTGCACAAAGAAAAAAAATACGTGAATCAGACCGTATCAACTACTAAATTGGTGGGACATTATGCGTAATATGAACTCGGCAAACAAGCTGAAGGAAAACATATCAAGTGCCTGATAAGCCTATCCAAATGTATCTAATTTTATTGCAAGAGATGTACCTCCAGACTTGCGCCGACTGTTTGCACGATTCCTGAACAATATTGAGAATATAAAGACAACCATAAGCAAATGATCATAAGCAGATACATGTAGCAAGATACAAAGCTGACGAAAATGTCAATCTATACAACAAGACAAGGGAGGCATTAATTGATGGTTTGACATTTAAACAACTCTAAATAATGAGAAGCAATACAGAAATCGCAGTATTAGATCAGAAATCCTAAGAAAAGAACTAAGCGGCTTATCAACTGATGAGATCAACAGAGCGATCAGCAAACGCACAAGAATGCTACAGATAATCGACTTATTTTTCACACTGAACTCCACTTTCTAACTGTGACTGCGAGAGATCACTAAACCATGGACCCAACTGACATGGGTGATAAAACAAAAATCGAAGTTAGTAGGCATAATACATGTACACACTTGTGATTAGATCAGATCCGAATACAAATAGCTAAATAGCTCAAGTTAGGGTTCGGGTGCTCAATTTTGCACAGCAGGAATGGAAGAGAAGGAGCGAGCATACCTGGTGTGGTGGGTTCCCGTCGCCGGCAACGGGCCCGAAGAAGACATGGGCAGCTGGGCATAGGGCGGCGGTCGCCCTAGCCGTCGCGCACGCCAAGCGAACGGGAGAAGAGAAACAACGAAAAGTGTGAACGCTGGAGAGTTCTTCGGACGCAGACTCAGTGACTTTAGCGTGACTTTCTTTCATCTCCAGCGTCTAATTACGATCCAACGGTTCCCACCAATTTGAAGGTGAACTTGCAAGAATCAGCAGTTTCGTAGTTGGAAATGGTCCTCTAACTTTTACTCAGGTATAGTTGAGTCCTTACGCCATGTTTAAGATGGATTAGTACTAGAACTAACTGTTACGGTTTATAGTAAGCTGACTAAAAATTTATCTAATGCTCTTTGAATCCCACGATTAATGTATGTATATATAGTGCTTCCTCCATCACAAATTATAAGACGTTTGATTTTTTTGACCTCAAATTTGACCACTCGTCTTATTCAAAAAAAATTTTGTGCAAACATAATCAAATTTAAGTCATTCTTGAAGAACTTTTATTAATAAAACAAACCACGACAAAAAATGATATTTTGCACAAATTTTTAATAAGACGAGTGATCAAATTTGGTGTAAAAAAACTCAAACATATTTTGCACAAACCTCAAGATTTAAATGTATTATTCTTTGATCCATGAATAACAAACGGGTAGAGTGCATACGCGTATTTGTGGATGTGTGTGCATACATGTATGTATCTATATTTGTGTTATGATTCAGTGGTATATGAGATACTTTTATATGGAACAATGCGTAGATACTCAGCTTACAAATAAAAGCAACTCAGTAATAAACAAGCGATCCCATCGAATTGACTCTGTACCAAACAAAGCCAGGGAATTTGATGACCCCTCTAGGGTTGCAAGGCAGGTTATCCGTGGACATGTAAATAGTCTATTTTTTGGGCTACCTGCAGACCTACAAAACTTAGCCTATTTACAAGTTGTGGACACTCCGTCATGCATCCCCAGGTCCCTCCTATTGACAGAAATTGAGAAAATAATAACAACTTAGCAATAAACAAGTAGTCAAATCTAATTGTCTCTGTACCAAGCAAAAACAAGGAATTCGATGAATCCCTCCTTTTATTGATAGAAATTGAGAAAATAATAGCAACTCGGTAATAAACAAGTGATCCAAATCCAATTGACTCGTACGAAGCAAAACCAAGGAATTCGATGAATCTCTCCTATTGACAGAATTGAGTCGCCCCTTTCGACGTTCTGATCTCTTGTTCTCAAAATAGCACTTAGACGAATGAGCAAAGCCGAATTGAGTTTTTTTGGAATTTGCAATGGATCCTCTAAAACACACACATGCATGTTGTATAGATACTTATAGGTCTTCATAATCTTTAGTTGCCATACAATGATACAAGTATTTTTGTTTAGAAAAAAAAGGCCAGCATTCTATCGTGTTCATGCCGAACAACAAATTCACATGATACTCGGAACAGAATTCGAAAGCGCATGGATATTGGCTACTCCTACCATGTAACAAAGCTACGATAAGCTACATCGTCATCATGATGCAGGTGCAGATCGGCAGCACGCGGTTCATTCAGACGACTTGACGATGAAGTTCTGGCGCCTGATGGGGTTCATGGCGACGGGCGGGCCGGCGGTGCGAGGCCACGCCTGGAACTTCTTGTCCGTCTCCTGCCACCACTCGTTCGTCGCTACGGTCCGTGGAGTCGTGCCTGCAGACAAAGCAGCAGTGAGAGGTATGAATAGTCTCTTTCTCTCACAACAAATCAACTTTAGCCGGCTTATTAGCCCACAGAACCCGTCAGCCGAGCATCCGGTGGCTGGCACCTCACCTCCGAGGACCTTCCTGTCGGCGACATAGACGCCGCAGACGTACGCGAAGGCGAAAGACGCCGCCACCGACCCGATGATGTACTTGGTGGCCATTAGTGCTAGTAAGGTGCTGACGACCTGCCAGATTAAATGTACCGCGTTTTCAATTTTCATGACACGAAGTATCAGAAATAACGACAGTATTGAGAAAAAAATAGAAGTAGTACTGTACATGCTAACTTGCATATGGTACACAAGAAAAAAAGGTTGAATCAAAATGACCTGTAATTAAGCAGTTGAGCATTCACCGTGGTCCGTGGGCAACCAAATGCGGAGTGCAGACTGCAGAGATGAGCAAGTAGAAGTAGGTCTGCAACCTTGCTTTGCTTCCAGCTTCTGACGGACAGGCATCTTTATATTACTACACTGGAGTACTTGCTAGCAAGACAAGTTGCCGTTATCATATTTTGGGTCTGAATTTTTTAGATAATGATATTTTGGTTCTGACTGAAACGATTTGCTGGATCCTCAGTATAATAGCACAGTACCTGGTAAGAATATACAATTGATGGCAATCTGTCGACGAAACCGGGGGGCGCCCGCTGTATCCAGGATAAACAAAGTATTTACCAGCGTCCATCGATCGTTAACAAATTGCTTAGTTGTCATCATCCCCGAACGACCACTCTTTTGTTACGATGCACAACTGTTGTTCGTATGTTACACGCATCTCTCCCGGTGAAATCATGCGCTTTAGCTCTGCCAGTTCCTGCTCGGCTATGATCCACCCTTTGACTCTCTCCACAATCGCTACTACGCATCGGACGAGTGCACGTGCACTGTGCACGGTACGCGCCCGGACCCTGAAGGCGTGACCCAGACCCAGGCACCCAGCATATGCAGAAATGCGGCAGCGGCACGGCCGGCCGGGCCCGGGCGCACGGCCTATCGGTGTTTCCGGCCTGGAACGGCACAGCTCGCGACTTCGACGAGTGCCGCTCGCGGCCGTCCTGCCGTGGGCTGTGGTTTGTCCGCCTGTGGGTAGACGCAGGGAAGAGGGGACGTACGGGGTCGCGCAAGATCACCTCATCAGTGGACCGTTCGATGCCACAGCGCCGCAAATGCGATTATGCGCTCGTTTACCCGCGCATTCGTTACCTCTGCCTGAATCGTACTGGTCAAACTTTTTCAATTTTAAATAGATCTATAATACGTGCAACGTTTATATATTCAAATAAGTTTATTATAAAAGTATATTCAACGATCTAATTAATAATACTAATTATGTACCTAAATATTAATATTTTATTAAATATATTTGGGCAAAGTTAAAAGTTGATGACTTTTTGGGAAGCGATAATAACTCTTTTTTAAGAACAAAGGGATTATGTGATTATGCGATTGGGAAAAGTAGAGAGGGCTTTGAATGACATAGGTTGCTTTGGCTGCATGTTGGTCGAAATAAGCGAGGTGTGTGATTGTTAGAAGTGAGTGAGTGCATTCAAATTTCAGACTTGCTTGGTTCAGTTTCAATTTTTTTCATGTTAAAGGTTTAGCAAGTTATGATTTGGCTAGTATTTTATTTGCTCCTAAAACTTACAAAACTCTAACATTTGATTTGCCAAATTTATGACAATTTTTATCTAATTTTTTGCTTGCCAAATCTTTGGTATGCCAAATTTTGGTCAAACATGCCCTTTCCCTCAAAATAAGTGTACATCTAGTTACAGACTACCAAACAGTCGCTTGTTCACTCTCTCTGTCTGTCTCCAAGGTGCAGTTACTGAGAAAACTTTAGTAGAGGTATATTAATAATTTCACTTGTATTGTATCACTGATCTCTCCAACAGGTCCTGTCAGCAAGCAAGCAGTGCCCTAGCCCGGAATAAACAATAAATCCGGGTCCTCAATCGAAAAACTACCGGACCCAGGATTCCTAGGCCTCCCGAATCCCACGCCGGAAAATTTCCCACTTCCCTCCGTCCTGCATTCGATTCTTTAACTCCGCCGCTTCGCCTCGCTTCCTCCGCCGCCCCCATGGCGTCCGCCGCCGCCCAGAACCCCAATCCCCTTAATCTCAACATCAAGCTCCCCCCATGGCTCAGCGGGCTGCGCTGCCCCTTCACCTTCCTCTGCCCGCCCCCGCCGCCACCGCCTCCGCCGCCTCCTCCTCCCCCGCTGCCACCTCCGGAGCCTGTGGTCCCACGGTCGCGGAGGCTGCCGAGCCTGCGCGTGACCACGGAGTACGATAGCGAGGAGGGCGTGTTCGTGAACAAGGTGTCGTGCAAGCTCGCGGGGGACCTCGCCAAGCTGCGGCTCTCCTTCCAGAGCGACCCGCAGGGCCAGTGGCAAGGGGGCGGGGAGGAAGGGGACCCACTTCATCAGCTCTTCACCGCGCCGTTGGTGGGGCTCATCACCAAGCGCTTCTCCGTGCTCTACGACGTCGAGGCACGCAACGCGCTGCTCCGCGGAGACTGCTCGCTTCCCGGAGGCGCCATCCAGCTCCGTGCCTCGCACGATGTCAAGGTATTGCGCCGTAAATTTGAGTCAAGGAATGGCTTTACAAGTGGTCAGCAAATAATATTTGCATATTAGTTGCACTTAAACTTCCCAAAATAAGATCCATTCGACATTTGGGTAGCGCTACAGGGAAAGGATTCAATACCCATTTTTGTTCTCCAACAACAGGACCCAAAAGAGCTGCAAAATGGGTTTTTAGCAGAGAGGATGCTCATATATTGGTCATGTCTCTCCTGGCATCCAAAATGGGTCTGCTGTATAGTTGCTTTGTTGGCGACCCATTTTGAGTTTGGGTGCCGCAATAGGTCTTCTGTTGGAGATAGTCTTAGGGAGTTTTTTTTTTCTTTCATTCACTAGGTCATTTATATTCAAATTTGCTAAGTTGAAGTGCCAATGTAATATTGGGTTGCTCTCAAAAGAATATATTGGGTTTAATGTGCCTTCCTTGGTTTCTCAGGCCCAACAAGGAGAAGTTTCGGTGATCACTAGTTTGGGTGATCCGTTATATAAACTGGAGTTATCATCTTTGGTGCCTTACAGTGGTTTGGTGAGTATCTAGGTTCCTTTACTGGTGACATTTTTTTTAATCCTTTATCAAATAATTTAGGTATTCTAACAAGGTTCAGATGTCCTATTAGGCTGCTATCATCGTTATGCGTTCAGATAAATCTTGATTTGTCGTTGTCATGGAATTAAACTAGGGAGTTAATCCATGCTCTGGTATCACTTTTACCCTTGGGAAATACTAGAAACGCTACTCCTTACAGACTAAAGAGGTTTGTAATATTAAAACATTGACCATTCAAATACTATTTTGACTGTTATACTGTTATCTGAAATATTCTTGTACATTTTGACCTCTATGTTTTCTATTTTTAGTTGCATCATGCAATGTACCATATATCTTAAAGTTGCATTTTAGAGATTTTGTGAATACTATACACATTTATGTTAACTATTCATCAGTTTCTCTTTTGGCTAATAGTATATGGCATCTAAACCCTCTTAAATGTAAGAGTTTTCTCCTTTTTTATTTTATTTGGCAGCCAAGGGCAACGTTCCACTTTCCTATCGGTCAAGTTTCAGTAGAAGAGAGGAGAAATGAAGATGATGAGAAGGTGCTTTCTGTATATGGGATTGGAAAATCTGATTTCTTGGACGGTGTTCTTACTTCTCAGTACAATGAAAATGATCTTAATCTAAGATATTGTTATAAGGTGAGCTATTTAATCCTTTTCTTTGTTCTGTTTTTTGGACTTCCTGTTAAGTTTGATTCTGTTCAGTATGTTTCCTGTGGCAGGACAAGGAATTAACTTTAGTTCCAAGTGTCTCATTGCCTTCCAATGCAGTATCCATAGGGTTCAAAAGGCGTTTTGGTCCTTCTGATAAGTTGAGGTGAGGCTGCGATCATTGTTCTGTGATCATTATCTTGTGCCCATTTATGAATGCATCCACTAAACATTTTTTTTCATCACAAGGTCTCTGCACTGTTAATGCTTCAGGTCTTTAACAAGTTACTTCCAGTAACTATTATGTGAATTGCACTTGTGTTCCGTCTGTTTTGCTACAAATTAGCAAATCTTTCTTGATGATGTGTTCATTAGAGAAAAACCAAGCTACCTTCAGCAATGAAAAGAATATTCAAAGAACTCCATTTTAGTCCCCCTGATGTATGGTTGGAGTCCACTTAACCTGCTAAAGTGCGATTTAGTTAACAACCTTCTTTTTCTTAATCCAGATCACTATTCATCTTTTGCTTTTATTTGATACTGATTTCGTCTGCATGGAGAGAGGGTTGAGCTGTTTTGCCGGTCAAGAATGCTAGCTTGGCCGGCTTTGACATGGAGACTGGTGCTTGACATACATGTTGCTGCCTGAAACTCTTCGTTTCTCCTTGGCCTTTTCTCCTTCCTCTCATCTCTCTGTTTGACTGTTTCTCTCCTACAGAGTACAGACATAGGAACTAGTTTCACGAAGCTTGTCTTGTTACCTTCATCAATTGACGTGCCCAGCCCTGAATTTTCTTGCTTCAAACAACGCATCGATCACACAAACTCATGTAGCAAATTCAAATCAGATACAAGTTTACTACCTTCTTCCTGTATTGGAATAGTTGCAGTATCTCCATCTTGCTATGGCTTCATGGAATTGCAAGGAAGAGGGGGACTTGTACGCGAAGATTCTCTATCTCCACGGTGCTTGTAACTGTGACGCTCCTATAGAGATTGTACAGATCAAGTGCCAAACTGATCTCACTCATACAAACCCAGACTCTCTAACTAGCCGCCACTATAGTGCTATTGGGGGCTTTTGTTCTTTACTGGTTCCACAATGGTTGCTACCCATTAGTAGGAGTGCATTTATTGTAGTCTATTGCCTGCTTTTGGAGCACATTGACTGCCGTAAAAGCAAAAGGTGAATAATGAACCGTTTTAAGAAAGAGAGGGGGTTAAGTAAGCCAAATCATAGTTTAGCGGGGTAAATAGACTTGGGGCTGTACTTAAGGGGAGTAAAATGGACTTCTTCCAATATTCAATTACTTTATCTGCACAAGAAGTTTGCTTCACAAAACCTGAAGGGTTTAAACTATTGAT